AAATTGTTCTGTCCTTTCAGAGTCTTTTCTCACACACGATGAATACAATTTTGCTTAGCATAACATTCATTTTATCTTAGAACTATGTTATGAAAATATTAGTGAGGGGGGTAAGAGATATCAAGGAGGGAAAAACTCTTATTGAGATATACTGGGCACTATTCTAAGTCCTTTACATATATTATTTGATTAAATACTCATGATAACCTCATGAGGCAGGTATTATTACTCCCCCTGTTTATTATACATGAGGAATCTAAGTAAAGCAACTTGTCCAGGGTCACAAAGCTGATGAGTGGTAGATCCAGGACTCCAAACCAGCAGTCTAACTATACAACAAGCACACAAAACACAAATGCAACATAAACTACCCCAACCTCACAAATAAATAAATAAATAAATAATCTTCTTGTCTCATGAATAAAAAATTCTGCCATATTTTGATTTTTTAACTATTTTAGGAGGATGTTAAATTGACTTACTCTGCTTTTTCAAAAGTTTTCTGAACAGTACATGAATTAAATTGAAATGAAACTTCACCTATTGGAGATCTCACTCCTCTAAAGCTCATACATTATAAGACTATGAGATATAACTGAGTATGTTTACTGGCAGATTTTAAAATTATGTATGTTTTTGATACTTGGTACGGTGGATACAATAGTATGATTTTTAAAAATTCTTTGGTATAGTTATTTCTTAAAAAGAAGGATAAAATGACTATGAAACTTACGTGCACAGAATAACAACAGAACAAGGGAATAATTCCTGGTGCTGAAGACAGCATTTTAATACTCGATCATCATTGTTTTCATCACTCAATCCATCTGCAAATTTAGCAAAAGCATCTGTCAATAAGCACGCTAGAAATCTTAGTGTCACATGAATAATCTAGGCTGTATTTACAAATCAAAACCATTTAAAAGTTTCAGGGCACTGAAACTACTCTTTATGACAATATGATGGTAGATACATGTCATTTGTCCAAACCCAGAGAATGTGCAACACCAAGAGTGAACCCTAATTTAAACTATGGACTCTGGGTGATAATGACATGTCAACGTAGGTTCACCAGTTGTAACAAATGTACCACTCTGGTGTGGGATGTTGCTAATAGGGAAGCTATCCATGTGTAGGGGTGGGGTGTATATGGGTAATCTCTGTGTCTTTTCTTTAACTTTGTTGTGAACCTAAAACTGCTCTAAAAAAAAAAAAACAAAAAACTCTATTAGATAAGAGAGCAAAACAATGTCTTGAAAACTCTGGGTCTAGAATTCACATAGTATATAGTTGTGGACTGTATAAAGTGGTTGGTTAATTTACTACTAAAATGAACTAAAAAATGGCTACTAGTAAATTCAAAGGAAAGGAATGTGATTAGTAGGCTAAATGTCATACTAGAAATCAAAAACTACAAATTCTAATATCAATTCAGTCACATACAGATTATAAGTAAATTATATAAAAACATCATGCTTAAAATTTTGTCAGCTTATGACATCTATGAATTAATGGGCAATTGCTCTACTAGCAACAGAACCAGTTTTTTGTATCCACTTTTCCTTAGTCTCTAAAGCAGTACATTTAGTACAGGGGAAGGAAATATGGGGCTTAAGCAGAGAACACAAAAAGTAATTTCTTTTTGAGCCAGGGTCTCACTCTGTTGCCCAGGGTGGAGTGCAGTGGTGTCATCATCACTCACTGCAACCTTAAACTCCTAGGCTCAAGGGATCCTCCTGCCTTAGCTTCCCAAAGTGCTGAGATTACAGGTATGAGCCACTGTGGCTGGCCTACAAAAAGTAACTTCTAACACATGTTAATCATTTGCTGACAGGGTGTCCTCTGGCATTCTCCATCCCTTAAAACATGTAGTAAAAATTCAGTTTTTGTGAAAATAATGCAATGTGTAAAAATAGGACCAAAGACAATGTTTCTCATAGGTCCTCATACTGCCTGTCTCAGAACCCCCAGACTGCAGAACTACGACGTAGATCTATTTCTGGGTAAGAATCTTTGAAGCCTGGACCCAGACACTGATTTAAGCTCTTCGGGAGTCTCTTACACACTAGAATTCAAGACATACTAGTCAATGGGCTTAAACCTTGTTCTCAGTTTAAAATTTTTTTTCTCTCAACTTTTAGCCTTTACTACTTACTCCTCTAACCATTCAAATTAGAAAACTCATTCATTCATGCAATAAATATTTATATAGGGCTAATTTGTGTCAGGTCCCTGTGCTAAGTAGCTGGATATGCAAAGACAAACTCTTTAGCAGTTCATAATCTAGTAGGGAAATCTAGAAAGAGCTCAAGTATCTCAGGGCATGATGAGCCTGAGGGAGATGTGATTAAATTCCTTAATATTAAGACAACCAGTGATCCAGACAGACTGAAATCACAGCACTCAATTTTCCTTCTTTAAGCTCAGAGAGTAAATGACAGTAATAATGTAAAATGGGCAACTCAAAGTCAGTAACTTTAAACAATCCAATTCAGCAGACAAAAGGAGGTTTAAACGTAATAGCACACTGCTCTAAAGGTATCAAAGTTCGATATTATCTGACATTATCAGGAGCTAATAGCTAATTTTTCAAAAAAAATATATAGTTATCACAGTATCATTTTTCTAAGATACATGGAGCTGGAAAATATACCTAAAACTGAAAGAATATTGATGAAATATTTAGTCATTCAACAAATATTTTTGAGCACTAGCACAGGTACTGTTCAAAAGTGAACGAAACAGACCAGTGTGATTTTGAGTCCTTGCTTTCCCACTCACTAGGTGTGTATTCTTGGACAAAGTGCTTAACCATGAGGATTAAATGTGAACAGATATCAAGGACTTAGCCAAGTATATGGCAATATTAAGTGCTTAAAAAATACTATATATTTATTACTTAAGAGTCATCTTAAATGGAATCCCAATAGCAAGGACCTTTACTCACACACAACGCAAAAATATATTCTATATAAATTACAGTTAAGATTTTTAAATATCTAATAGAATTTAATCTCCTCAACAGCA